TGCTATGCAAACAACAACCCCTGTAACATTTAAAGTCTTGAGAATTTTATTTATTTTGCTCATAACATAAAGTACTAGTATTTACATTTAAAGGAATCTAGCTAGAACTAGCAATATTTATGCAAATTTAATACTCTTGTGGGTTTTTATTTATAGACCCATGCACTCACCCACAGCTGAACTTCTCAACAAGCTAGGTACATTGGCACAAATTAACAGCTTAGCCCATCAAGTTCCACTGCACCCTACTGGGGCTATGGTGGCATGCTGATTGTGCCACCGACTTTGGTAGTGCAATTGTCAGAGCGAGGACTTTTTACATCTGAGATTGTTGGTTCAATTCTCACCACTTCAACGACACTTAAATGTGAAAAGAGTCATGCTGTCAACACTCTGACAAAAGTTGTGGGTTTTCTCCGGGAACTCCAGTTTTCTATAGAGGGAATGTTGACGGGTGGCTTGGGATTAGCCTCTAACTCACCCTCCAACTCACCCTCCATAAGGTGGCTGCCAGAGGCACCCTCAGAAAGTCTTTTACTCAATCAAATTGTGCTATGTTGAACTGTACCAGCTACAGAGAAAATATACATTTCATGGGTTGCAAATATAATATTATATCTATATTCATATCACATGTAGTTGAAAATCTTTTGGAATTCAAGAACATCAGTGACAAATGTCAAACTGCACACAATACACTGAAAAACAAAAATATTCAAATCACTTCATGGCAAATTTAATATACATGTATCAAGCAGTAGTCATAGTAGTGACAGCACTACTGGGTTCTGTATCAATTCAGTGATTGTTTGCTGAAAATAAACTATTCAAGTATTTACAACTTTTAGAATTGTATAGTATATTAAATTAGTATAAAGACATTTGATCAGCAAATCTCTTTGGCTGGAACTCGACATGGGCTTTTGATTCTGGTGTTAAATTATTAAAGGTGCATCCCTGGTTGAAATTATTCTTTCTCCTTTTGTGGGCAGCTTACAAATTCTTTTAAAATATGAAACCTGTCCTATTTCTTGTAGTCATCTTGACCAAGATTTATACAATGATGCACACATAATATACAGAGAATAATGAAATCTCAAGGCAAACCAATACAAACACTCACCTCTAACACTCATTTCTTGTTAATTCCTTCAGCGATTGTTCCAGGTCACCCATAAGCACATATAAATATAATATTCAGCACCAAAAACGCCAAAAATAATTGAAAAGGCACGAGTAAAAAGCTGAATGGTTCGATTCTTCGGATATCGTATTTCTGAAGAATCATATTTACATTTTCTGCCAGGCCACAGAGTATACAGAGGCGGAACTCGCGGCGATTCCTTTGTTCTTTGTGTCCCCGTGCCACGTCATTTCCACGCGCCACGCAAATTGCTCTGGCAAGTGTCATTCGTCGTGTTTTCAGTCAAAAGCATAGGAAAAACACCGTTCGAAAGTAGAAAAATAAATATTTTTGCGAAGTTGCTCAACCGATCTTCATTTTGGGACTCAAATTTGAAAGATAAATGGTAAGTGGTTATTTTTATGTAAAAAGATATACGTTTATAGGCTAAATACAAAGAAAAAAGAGTATAATACAATATACAATCTCGGTGCTTGTGATGTTCTGCCAAGAAGCAGATTCCCATTTCGCTATAAAATTAATGCGGGCCAAACGTATTGCTTTCCTGTCTTTTACATTAATAAGAAAGCATAGGTGCTTATTTGAAACACGTCCATCAGGTTCCATGCATGTAGCTTTGGGATTTGTGAGCAAAAATTACTAGTTAAAGTTAAAGTAAACTACCTATGTTTTTAATACTTTCTGTGCAACTATAAATAACCACATTCACAAATGTATTCTCCAGCAAAGAAACGTTTCTTTACGGATTGTTATTCCGCATTTGAAGGCATGCTTATGCCTTCAAAGGTCAGAGGTCTTGAACATGCAGAATAGCAGAGACTACTGTCATTGACATCCTTTTTAATTGTCACAAAATTATGATGGCATATTGGACAGCTATGTTGGATAAGGCACTTCCTTAATAAATAGCCTGACACATAAGTTCATGCAGACTAAGTTTTGTTCAATTTCATTTGTTTTGTAGTCGGTATCTTCAACTGCTTGGATTAGTGGTGGGCTTGTCTAATCATTTCCTGCAGATAAATCAGATTGGCTAGGGTGAAATGCAATCAAATAGGCATCAGAATCTTCAGCACAGCTGCCAATTGAAAGTGGTGTCAAAATGTTATCTACAAATAATATGCAAAATGCTCTGGTGAACTGGATGGGACTAATGGGTTGTCACAATCCCCCCCCCCCCTGCCTAATGAGGCCAAAGAAGTTCTCCAGAGGATCCTGGTTGAGACATCTTGTCATGAGAAACTCCAAGGAATGATGTTGGTTAAGGTCTTGAAATGTAAATACTACAGTGTAAATACTACAATGAAATGTAAATACAACAGTGTAATTGGGGTTTAAAAAATACAAAGTTTATTTTAATAAATGTTTATTTTATTTCACATTTATATACATTTAAGAACTTAAATTATTCAAAAACTAAATAAATATGTGTTCAATGTCAATGAATATTTTAAATTTTTTATTCCAAAATAGGCAATAACTGTTTCCTTTATAATTTTTTTTTCTGTGTTGGTGTAGTGTACTCAGGTGAATATGATATTTATGGTGTTACTCTGAGTGTATATCCACACCGGGCGAGCTTGAAAAATATGCCCGGCGACGGTGGGATTCGAACCTACGACCTTTGGAATACTAGCCCATAACTGTTTCCTTTATAGTTGACCCCACATGTTGCCATGAAAATTAATACTAAATAAAAAAAGTAGCCAATGATCCATGTTTCCTCTTACAGTCTCTGCTTTATATGAAAAGTTAAATACTATGAATAACTGCATTGTTAAAGTATTCCCAATTAATACTTTCCCTTTAAAGTCATGTGCCCACCCCTTGATGAGTAAAATTGTCTGCTGTTAGACAGAGTAAAATAATAAACTAGGGTGCATCAGGGCACAATGCAACTCATTGGGTTAAAGTTGGGTAACTAACAAGTAAAATTGTCTAGCTTTACAGTACATCTTCCAAGGGGGGCTGGATTTGGAGAGCAGGCCTACCACTTTTAGTTGCATTGGGGGGCTGCTTTTTTGAACCTCAATTAAACTATTACAGTAATCTGAAGGCCTGTTTATATGGTCTCCGGGGACTAGGGAAATCCTACCCCCCCCCCCCAAGCCACCCTGGCAAGGCAAAATTATATTCATATCCTATTATAGCAATTAACTGCCATGAAAGTGTTTGCATGGAAAGTTTTGAACTTGTCTTGCCTAGTGGGATGATCCAGGTAGCAAGGTCACACCGTCAGGGGGTACAGCATCTCTATTACTCAAGATTAATTATATAAACATTGCCTGAGGCTGTGTAAAATTGGTAGGCATTCCAATATAAGATCAAATAGTCTCAGGTTTAACATAGTTGTAAGATTCTGCATCTGATTCATTGTAATGAATAATGTAGTTCAACAGGAATGATTGGCAATCTAGAAAAGCAAAATAAAACATAAAATAAATAAACAGATTCGATTTTTATTAAACATGTACAGTGACTTGGCATGTCTGAGAAATTGATCTTTGAGAGCCAAAAAAAGGTTGTCAGTGCACTGTCAATAACCAATGCACTAATTTAGGGGAATCACTATAAAGTATAATTTGACCAATCCCCCACCATTGGGTCAACATATAAGTTAAATAAAGTCTATATGAGTATTTTAGAGTACTGTGGCTCCATGTCCATATCTCCATCAGTCCATGTTGAATGTTGATGTTCATTTTCGTATCTGAATGCTGTTTATGCAATGTTTAAACTAACGACAACCCTTTGATACAACATTGCACTTCACAAAAATATATTGATAATTTGATATATATGAGCTAGAGAAAAAAAACTCACATATAAAGTTGCCAAGTTCCAGCTGGAGTTCAGGTCTACAGAATCGAATCTTCAGATTGCCAGAAATTCTCACTCCTTCGGGTGTCTTTTCTCATTTTCGCCGTTAAAAATGGTATTCGTTCAATTCCCTTTCGCTAAGAAGACGTGATGTGCCATTTATTTGCAAAATTCGTGCACAAAATGAAGATTGATCGGTTACTGCGCTTAAAATCGCCGTTTTACTGCCAAAATTTTGCATTTCCCTATCTTTTTCCTGATAAAAAATGTTTATGACACTTGCCAGAGGGTCGCGCATGCGCATTAAAAAAGTGGGGACATGATTTGCCTCGAGTTCCGCCTCTGATTTATCCTTACTCTGTGGCCAGGCGCAGCAGAATCCCGTCGTGTGTTGACCTAGCACCCCCGCGCGCTCGCTCTCTTAGCCACTGATCTATATAAAAACACTGTAGTGTTGCTAATTTTTAGTACGTTATTTGCGCCTGGGTACGAGGCTGATGGAGTGTCGTTATCACTAGCGGTGTTTACCACTAGCATTTAGGAACCATTAACCAATCAGATGCGTTTAATCTACGTGATTAACCAATCATATGCGTACTTATAGTCGGTAAAGGTATATCTAAACCTCACTAATGTTGTGGAGATCTTGTAGTATGGTTTGGGAACCGAGCTGGTCGTGTAGGATTCGGGAGATACTAGATTCTAGGTTTGGCAGAAAATTTTACAAAAAAATATATTGCCTACATAGTTGGATACGCCCCAATGCAAAGAGTTCTTACAAGCTGCCATCTTATATATTGATGTGTCTACTGTCGCCTTTGGTTCCCTTTATTTCATATTTTACTTCTTCAGGAAACATTATTTTTTGTTTTATTCCTGCTGATCACGTTCATATTTACTTTTGATACGCGTCATCATATTTGATCATTTCCATGTGGATATTTCTTGTACTAGGTGAGAGCAGCATATCAACGTTTCAAAAAGAAATGATCACGGCACTTGCGGCAAGAAAAGAAGCTTTAGAAATCAAACTGAAGGAAAAGATTGAAGAATTAAGACAAAATTGTTTTCGGGAAGCTGTAAGCCATTGTCTTCCATTGTATTTACGATAATATTTATTGCTAGCCTTTTATTGCCAACATGTTTTTATCCTCGTGTTTCGCGCACAATAGGGTTAGGGATAACAGTGGGATTGAGGTCAACATCAAAGAGAACTACTGTATGTTCTTGCATGAAACATGAGGATATTACCAACATGTTGGAAGCGATGGGATGGAATAATAACTTGAGTCAATGCAAATTGCTTCTAGTTCCAGTCCTTCCTGTGGGGAAAACGTCAGTACTCAGTTTAGATAAAACTGATGCTGTATCCAGTGGAATCAGTAGTATTTAGTACTAGTGATTGACTAATTTTTTAATTACCTATTACCGATTATTCATGCCAGATACCGATGCCGATTTTATAATGAATAAAGGTGACATCATTTATGTCGTTTTTTCAACGAAAATTTCCAACGTAACATGTTATTGCAACCAAAGATCGTTAAAACCGTTAATAAATGGCACGCTTCACGCATTAATTTAACATAATTATCGTATCATCGTGCAATGCATATAATTTTTAAAGTGCGCATTTTCTCAACAATCGGTTTTAGATAATCGGAAATATAGATAATTCTACCGATTTCGATTGTCCATCGATAAGGCAAAAATCGGCCCGATGCCGATTCCAATTATCGGTCAATCACTATTTAGTACAGATGTGTACATAGTTTCCCCACCCCCAAAGTTGAGACAGTGACTTTCTTCCCCTGTCCAGGAGCGGTCTGCAGTAAAAATGGTGCAGACTCATACCCTTTGACCAATTATTGGGTCCTGGCTTCTGCGGAAAATGTCGACTTTTGTATGTCCTCAGTGGCCAGCCATTTCCTGCATTTTCCATAGTGAAATTCGTGCAAACGGAGTGACAAAAAATTGGGGATATGGAAGGAAAATTACAATCTTTTGAAATTCCTATTACCATGAGTTTTATTACCAAGCTTGTTTTATTTTACTTCCTTTTTCTCATTTCCTCGTTCAGGGTCACTTTTTCCCAAAATCCCTAACTTTTTTTTGCTTACAAGAGGGGGAACATGGTATTATATACACATCTGATTTATTATACAGTAATTTCATTGTGCGTTGTATGATGTTTTACAGAACCTTTCGTTCCGTTAGCATGGATCATGATCTGTGTAAATAATATCATGATATTTTTTTCTTAAATAGACGATTACTGGAGAGTATCCACCTGAAACCCCATATAACCCAAACTGTTCACCACCGCCCGTGAGAAAACGTGTGGGAACGTCGTTTTCGTTCTCGGACATTGTAGCCAAGAGCAATGCCGCAGAGGTGAGACATTTTCATCATTCTTTCTTGTCCAAAGGTTATCTCAAGAAGAACATGGGGATGGCTTTTGAAAAACAATTTCTGCGTAATCCTGGTTTGAATATAACCAACTTTGTTCGTTTGTGTGCTTCTGCATTCTTCAACACTTTATGAAATTACATTAAGTTACGCCTTCACGCACTGTGATTTGTTTGGCCGATTTTCGATGAACTTTAATGATTATGTTTGAAAAATTACGAAGGAAAAACATCTGACGACAACACTAACATTCGGCAGAATCTGAAATCGGTTCCAACAAATCGCAATTTGTAAACGTACCTTAGTTAACATACATGAATGCAGTTAGAAAGTTCGCCAAACTAACATTGGTTTAAGTTCATGAGATTTAGAACAACCGGACTTTGGATTATTCATAACATTTTTCATTTTAGGAAAGAGAAGAAAAAGTACACAAGTTAGAACTTGAGCTCGAAATTCAATCGAAGATTACAGATGCAGCGGAGGTATATTGTTAATGTTGTTGTTGTTTAACATTCTACCTGTTAGCTTTATTTAGTTGACAGGTACAGTAAGATAACGCGCACTTATTGTATGGACCCTATATGGAATTGCAGAGCTCTAACCAATGATTCATTATGAGACCTGATTAACATTATCCTATATAGGATGCAAAACATGCTGGTTAAAAAGAGTATTCATGAACATATGTTCTATATCATTTTAGAAGCAAAACAATTTTATAGATGTATAAATGTTTAAAGAGCAACGAACGCTTAGAATTATGTATAAGTGGCAATGGAATATATATATATATATATATATATATATATATATATATATATATATATATATATATATATATATATATATATATATATATATATATATCTGGAGCAAGGACTTCAGTTATTCGGCCTATGAGAAAAGTGAAGCCAAGATGGCGGCCATTGACGTCCAATAGCTCTGAAGGTCGTAAACAGTTTTCATACCATTTTCCCCAGCTAAAGCCAGTTTTTCTAGCGGAGCGTATCGCTAATCTAGTTTTCAGTTCATAAAATCATAATATTAGTCTTTAAACCGAAGTCAAAATACGAAATTTCGGCACACTCCTTGCCAAGTGGCGGAAAATGAAGAGCTGTACATTGAAATGAATATAACTGGAACGCTACATCCAACCGGAAATTTGAAGCCAAACTTGAAGGCCAGTCCCAGTCTTTTCACGCATGCGAGGAGCGCTCAATAATGATATAAACACGCGGGTCTTGATCCCCAGACGACACGCTTGTCTGGGGGTCAGGATTTGGCTTCAAGAAATTGAAAAAGATAGGCAGTTTATCTGAATGTAGCGTTCCAGTTACAGTCATTTCAATAGAGTTATATGACGTCAGTTCCAGTCCCTTTCTATTGTTTTTGTCTGCGCGGTTAACACGAAGCTGGCTTCACTTTTCGGACTCGATTTCTCGCTCCAGATATATATGGAGCTCACTGGCTGTAGCTAAGTTGATTTAACCCATTACCCAACATAGATGTCAGGTGATCCGAGACTTACCATTCCGGTCCAAGTTCAAACCCCCTTAGTAATCACAACCTAGAAGGCATGATATCAACTTAGATACCTACATGCATGGTAACTTCATATCCAAGATCGTGGGGCCTTTATTGCCACAGGATATTGGACACATGTATCTTTTCCCAGTACTAAACCTCAAAATTTCGTGGGTTTTCATCATGTTTTCTTGATAAAAGATCAAAAATGTTTTTTGTTTTTCACAGAAATTAGCTAATGATCCAAAAGCTGGTAAAAATGTTAGAAAATCAAGAAGGTTGATCTATCAAAAGTCTTTCTCCAAGGTAAGATATCATAGGCAACCCAGTAAGAATTTTTCTCTGCTCTGTGTGTCTCATTGTAACAAACTGATCTAAATATTTTTAGTTAAAGACGATGCAGCAAGCATTAAAACGAATGAAGGAAAGTCAAAGTGAAGATCATGGATTAGGTGTGTATCGACATATTGCATCATTCTTCCCAGGTGCATTACTCGTATGTATCCTTGGGATGACGTCCATAGATGACGTCCCGTTGAGTAAAGCTTGCTACTGTAGGTCGAGGATAAGTGTAATTTCCCTGTGCTTGATAAACTCGTGTATATAATATAGATTGGTTGGTTTTCTCCTGTGCTTTGAAGGTTTTCTCCCGGTCTTCCGTTTTTTCTTCCTCGCCCTTTTGCCTTAGGGGCGGACCATTAGAAAAGTGATGGGGGGGGGGGGCACAAAACAATTCGTGCAAAGAGGGAAAGCAAAGAAAATAACCTTTCAAATTTCGCAAAACATTCCAGCATGAGCAGAGATGGCCGCAAAAAATTCTTGCATGCTGAAAATCCCCCCTTCCCCATCACTTTTCTAATGGTCCGCCCCTTAGGGTGAATTGGCAAACACATCTTGTGTAATAGACATTAAATAAACCACCAAAATAAGTCATTATATACCATTTCTAATATTTGGGTGTTTTGTTCATCATATGCCCGGCTGCAGCTAATAACATCCACTTACATACAGAGTGAAAAATACTGGAATACTCAATTTAAATGTGAATTTCGCAATAATTGAACAGTTTACAATATAGCCATTCAGGTTTTTAACGGTGGGTTGCCTCTTAGATTTGAGGGAATGGTTCGCGAAAATAAATGACTGATATTGGAGAATCCACAATTGAGATGCAATAACAAATCAATAGTTAAAAGAAATAACTCATTTTGCCTCAAAAAAACCCGACAAGAATTGAAGCATTTTGGAAATGGAAACCTACCAACTATGACTTTCTGTGCCCACTTTCAAATTTAAATATTTTTTTTTTCAAATTTTACACGTATTACGGACACGGTTTAAGGTTGCTACTTTCTGTTTATATTACGGCGCAATTCGACGACATTAATGCCGGTAATGAACGAATTTTGTTATGCATGGTAGACTAAATTTTCTGGCTTCAGTGCGTACCGTTTCATATTAGCATCTATATTTGGAAAACAAACATAGTCATAGCCAAGGTTAAACCTTGACTGACAGGTGATACACAGTGAGACGGACACTTAGAGGAGGGGCGAATTTGGGTTGCCAACTTATGACTTTTTTTCAGCTGCAAGTATTAGTTCGTCACTCTTTGTTGCTTTAAATTCCATGCGATTTTAGCTTAACGTATAGCTACCAATGCTGTCATGCATGGTTTAAAAATTATTGATTCTGCTTTGTTACACAATTATTCAGCAATCATTTAAAGGCTTTCAAACATTATTCAAACGTTACTCGATACTTTTGCAGTGTTGGTATTATATATGGGCAGTACGTAAATGGGCGGGCGTTGAAGAGTTAGTATAGGTAATCATGCGATGGCGAGTACAATTAGGGATTAATAGTACGAGTGATGTTTGGAAATTTTGCCAAAATTGGACGAGCCGCCGGGGCGAGTCCAATTTGGCAAATTTCCAAACATCACGAGCACTATTAATCCCTAATTGTACGAGCAACATCGCATGATTACTTGTTTATTATTAGCATGACAAAAATGGATACTTCTCAATGTCAACATCATATTCTCTCGCCAAAGCCCAGTCCTGCCAGACTTTCAACCAAAGTTTGGTGCTTTTGTTCGTATTTTCATTTAGTTATTTTGTTAAAGCAAAATTTGCTGCTTTTGTTCGCATTTTCATCTAGTTCCTCTATGGCAATTTCATTGTGTAAAATACCTTTAAATAAAATACCTTTCCGCCATTTTGTTTGTTTTGGGAAAATCATTAATTGTACTGCAGTACAATTAATGAAATAATTGTACTCCTCTCAACCAATCAGAATCCAGTAATTTTGACATGCTAATAATAATAAAGTTTAATGAATTATCGAGTTCAAGTATATCGTCTAGGCATAAAATTCTTAAATTGTAAATAACTGGATAATACACTACTTTTGCTGCCTAGTATTCCTTGCATTGAATGCCAAAGGACATTGTTATCGCCACGAAAACGTACCACAAAAACAAGGCTAGCTAAGGCTTTACTTGCATTCATCGTGCAAGACGCATGAAAAAATGTTTTGTAATTTGACCCATACTTGAATTGTGTTGTTATTATTACAGTAGTATAACCTGACCTACGGACTACAGGATTAGCATTATAGTCATTTTCTATGGTAACTGTTGATGACACCAAAACCTTAAATTAATGCCCATTTCCACTCAAGAAAAATTTCCACGGAGAGAAAATATTCCGAAAATATCATTGTTTCCGATGGAAAATTTGTGTCGACCAATCACAGTTTACAAAATTTTCTTTCTGCGGAAAATTTTCCGGAAAATTTGATTGAGATGACGTAACGCTCATTGCTATTAGTAATATTTTTCAAGAATTAAGCATGAAATGAAAATAGTGCTAGAGAGATTTACAGGTAAACTACGTCAATTAGCGTTCCTCTTTTGAGTTCCTAACTTGATTGCAATTTTCCGCATTACCTTTGCAAATATGAAAAACTCCCTTGCAAATCCCTTGAGGGAATTTGCAATGTTCCTAAAAGCCAATTAAATTTTCCTCAATTCCTGTAATGATTAAAATCTTCACTCATGTATCCTTTTAATTCTTTGGCATGACTTATATGTGAATACCTGCTTTATGCTTAGCCCAAGTTTTTTTTAGCATGTGTTCTGCATCACGTTTTTGGAATATTTATCAGTGTACGAATTGCAAAAATGGTTTTATAATAAGTTTCTCTGTTAGACAAGTATTTACTATACATTCAGTGCTCTCCATAGTCTATACATTAAATGTAATTCACATCTCTATATTTTAGATGGAACTAGTTTGAATTCATATGAGGATGGTGAGTAAAACATATTAAGTTATTTATAGTTTTGCATGGCGATAGTCATGTGTAATATAAGTTTTGCAACTTCAGGATATAATTATTATTATCATATAGACAACTACCGGATATAAGCTATTCTGCAATCCGATTGGCTCTCTAGTAGGAAAAAACAAGATGGCGGCTCAAAAATTACCGGAGTACTCTAAACAATGCTTTTAATAGCATTAAATTAAGAGAAATAAAAACACAATGAAAATACTCCCAGCAATTGTTTACCGGATAACAAATACCGTATTTACTCGTTTGAGCGCCGCGGCGCTCTTTAAGAGCTTCAGATGCGGTGCTCAATCGGGGGCGGCGCTCTTTAAAAAATGTTTTATTTGTGAATTATAAAAAGAACTTCTAACAATAAAATAAACAAGTTTTAAAAGGTTTTTGTCACTAAATGTCCTCATTTTGGCGGCGGGAAGTTTTTACACTGTTTAGTGCGACGCTCATTTGGGGGCGGCGCTCTTTAAAAAAAATTGATCTCAAATGCGGCGCTCATTCTGGGGCGGCGCTCAATGGGGGGCGGCACTCAATCGAGTAAATACGGTACAGTAAGTTTTTAATATTGAAGCTAGTTAAAAAAATTTTTTTAAATAATGCCGAAAGAGCGAAGATATAAACATGAACAGAATATAAATGTTTTGGAAGAAATTAAACTGAACTAAATGTCAATTTATAGATGTGAAATCAACAACGAGTACTTGTTTTGTCTGAAAAGCTTTAAAAGAAAGAGCACAACAGTGGTTTATCTGGTTTAGGGCAAAACATTGCCTTACAGATGAGTCATACAGCTCATATACGACTCGAGTTCGCAGAATAAATGTTAATTAACTGTAATGGCTCGACAAACTAATAACCAACCTCCTCCCCAGCACGGATTTTTTGTCAAAACTCAAAACCGTTAGAAAAACATAATTGCAAAACCGTGTGACCCAAATTTAATTAGCAAAGGCTGGTCTTAGTTTATGCAGCTTATTGCCTGGACTATCTCAAGTAAAGTTTCATTATAGGATGCTATTTCTTCTTTCCATTCCAGATGTGGATGGTATCAAGCCGCCGTCTTCACGGAGATCCAGTTTTGAAGCTGCTACAGGACAACGTAGAACAAGCAATGCAAGTTCTATAGACAGTGCAAACAAACCAGTCGCACCCGGTTCAACATCGTCAAACGAAGAATTAACCAACCATTTTGATCATCTAAGATTTAACGAAACACCGGCATTCGCATCATCCACCATGATTAATGAAATCTTGTATAGAAAAAGACCAAGTTTAACAACACAGAACTCCAATCCTGGAATCCACCGCCTTGATTCGAATTCATCTATCTCGTCTACCTCAAGTCTTGTACAAGACCGGCTTCGTCCACCACCATCATACTCAGAAAGTCGTTTCAGTAGGAGAGAGTCTTCACTAAGACCTCAAGAGAGAAGGCGGGGATCAGCACCGGGTGTATATCAAAACCATGGTGATCGTGTACAAGAGAGATATAATGGACACAAAACTGAAGCGTTGAACAATAATGTAGCACCTGCAGGTTTAACTAAAGTACGGTATGTAGGTGGAGGGTCACCATCACAGAGTGATAGTGATTACAATAGTGATGATGTTCAAGTCACATACAGCCCGACTACAGTCATTACTTCAGACTATGATAAGAACACAGATCATTGGGTAAGCACATCATCGAGGAATAGATCAAACATAACAACAGCTCGATATAACTATCCAAGTAAACTGGGAATTATGAGCAACAGTGAAAGCACTGGATCTTACTTCGTCACTGATAATCTCACTAAACCTAATGCAAATCATAAAGATAAAGCTCATTTGTATGCATCGACATCAGCTTTGAACCAAACACAGTTGGTCTCAGATACGCTCCCTCGTTCACACCACTCCAGTTACTCTATACATACTCCTGTCCTCCAAAGGCGACAGCCTCTCATGAATAGATTTTTCAACGATGGACGTGATGATCCAAATGTCGGAAGTCTTGTATAGCAAGATTTCATTGCATTTGTTGCCATGAGCAAATTTATACTCACAGCTTCGGCTATTTTAGAACATCGTATTCATAGAATTCTTATTATAATATAACCAATTACTTTTTAATATAATCAAACTGATGTATATACATATTTTATTAAGCGCGCTATTTGCTTAAAATGAACTAAATTAGGTTATATATATTCGAAATATTTGAATTATACGCACTAATGTGTGGTACAGTGCATTTGCAGCCTCGTACCCAGGCGCTTAAAAGGAACGCGCGAGAAGAAGTCGCGAATGCAGTTATATTTAGATCAGTGTCTGATCTGAGCGCGTGGGGGTTTCGTCCTCCCAAGCATGCAGAGCGCAAGCAGAGTGCAGTTTCCACAGAGAGGCCTTGGTACGAGGCTGGTGTATTTGTGATTTTTAGAAATAATAGTCCAGAAATCAATCTTCAATTGAGCTATACAAGGCTCAAAAGGGCGTATTATAGAAACGATGCTATAATTAGGATGCAGAAAAATGAAATATTAGTTGAATTTCATAAAGACATTAGCATACTACATTTTTCTGTTTGCGCAATTTAAATTAATGAAAGCGAGTTTTTGTTGTAATTTATATTATTGATTTTGTTTTATATAATATACAGTATATATTGTATTGTTGTTTTGTATGATAATTTTAAATAATAGCCAGTGAAATGAACCCTCGAATCTCTGTGTATGCTAATATAATTATTTGTAATAATAGTTTGTACAATTTATTGTGAATATTTGATGTATACATCTTCATGACGTATGTCTTTTATGCTAGTGTCAATATTTATTGTCGATGAATAAAACCTAATTATAATACTGTCATTTATTTTTCATTGTGTGCGTACTAACTTAATAGAGACCTTACGATTTTAGGACGGCAACGCGACGGCAACGGCTAACAATACAATAGATCATTGAAAAGAATTGAGTAATTACAATATATGAATAATTTAGACATTGTCCTCGCTCTGTTTACAACGCCAAATCACAGATTTTCACGTCTTGATACAACGGCTGCATTCCAAGCCGCAACAAGTGCAACTTAAACTGGGTTTAGCAGAACTCTTCCCAACGGGACCCATGCAACCATAAAATGCATGACGACGAACTATCTTTACTACCATTTACTTGAAGGAATTTGTTTTGGCCGTTGCGTTTCCGTCCTAAAATCGTAAGCTCTCTAATAGTGAGCTTGAGCAAGCCACGTTCTTGTCAACACGGACGTCACCCGAAAATTGGTATAACTAATTTTGGCGGCATTTTGCATCATAGCGCTCGTGTAAGGAAGAAAAAAACTTTAAAAATCTTATGTCTTGCCATATATGTGTTGAAGATTACCACAAACTGACACAAACACAGTTTTTAATCCAGTCCCCCCTCGGCAATCTGACGTCCGTGTTGACAAAAACGTCGCTTGTTTGAGCTCACTATTGTTTTAAACGTTTGTCGTCTTGCCTCATGGCATGAAAACAGATGCTGTTGATTGAAATCATAGCCATAAGGCCGCGTTTACACTATGACGCTACGACGCTGCACACCCGTTCCGCACGTTGTAACCAATAGTTTATTGGCGTTGTAATGCCATTGTATGCAATAAAGTATTGGGTTGTAACTGAAAACAAAACCGCAACCACTGCACAAAAGTTTTAGGTATAAGTGTAATTGGCTTTGCCTGGTTGATGGAGGGGAGGCGGCAGGGCACTTCCCCGGAGGGGTAGCAGGCCGGGGTTAGGGTGTGCGGTCAGGGTGCGGGGTTAGCAGATGGGGTTAGGGGTTAGGATTAGGGTTTGAATTAGGATTAGCGTTTGGATTAGTTGTAGATCCATTGTAACCAATACTTTATTGCATACAATGGCATTACAACGCCAATAAATTATTGGTTACAACGTGCGGAACGGCTGGACATTTTTACCGTAGTGATTTACATCCGGAGTGCCAAACGTGGTGGTCTGTAGTTAGTACGCTACGGCAAACCACTCCGTTATACTGTAAACACAATATAGTCTCAATACTAGATAAGGCAATACTAGATAAGTAAATTTTTAACAGAGTGTTAAGGCTGATTTCCACTGTTGCGTTTTTCATGCGTACGTATACGCACGTAAAACTTTAAATCCGTTTAAATGTTACTTATGAAATAACCAAATAAATAAAGCAACAGAATTTAGTGTTCCGCAAGTTTTAGTATGCATTTGTTAACTTATTTTTTAAAATATTTAAAAAATAGAAGGATTCAAAGTTTTACATGCGTGTACGTGCGTACGAAAAACGCAACAGTGGAAATCAGCCTTTAGCCGTAGACGCATTGAAGTCGATTTTTCTAAAGTTCATCGCTAGGCCCAAATTGAGACTTCTTGACGAAGGGAGGGCCTTCGCTCGAATCGTCGAGTTACTTATATTTTCAGGTATAGTTGCATATCTTTGACATCGCAGCTGGGTTTTTTAATTAAAATTAAAGTATTATGTAATCGATTGCCTCATTCCAGTTGCTATTTGGGCTGCTGATAACAAAAAATGTTATGTAACCATTATATCATAGCTTGTATTTGGGTTGGAACATATTTTATGGCAGGCCGGATGTTTTGGAAATTTCCGAAACATAAAGCCAATGTTTTCAGCTTCTTAAGGCGGATTTCCAGTCCTCGCACGAAGCTCCTCGCAGCTCGCTGAGAGTGCATGCATGAGCACTTTCATCCAATCACAATGCTAAACAGTTAATTGTAATTAGATGCAAGCACTCGCAGCGAGCTGCGAGGAGCTTCATGCGAGGAATGGAAAACCGCCTTTATACTGTATTAAATTCCACACTAAGTAAGCGAAGCAGAACGGGAATGGTCCCAGGCGAAAGAAGAGGATGATTCGCGTCGGGGAAAGACCTCGAACTGCATCGGTTCTGGATGTGGAATCCACGTGGATGGAAAGCGAAGCAAAACAAGCATGCAGCGAGCATAGGTATAGGAAGCACGGAGCAGCTGATTGCGAACGCCTCGTTGCTAACGCTTCATTATATATATATTACATGCATCATATATTCATTGTTGTCATTCACTGTCAGTGTTTGTATATGCAGTACACATCGAACTCAACCTTTACTGATAAATATAATCTCCTACAGTGAAGAATGAGAGAATGTTTGAGAAAACCACGGGCCCCAGGACAAGTTAGAGAGGTTAAGATACCCCGGTTTCGGTGTACGTGCACGGGTAGCATGATTTTGGTTAGCAATATTTTCGTCAGTGTTCCTTTACTCGTAATTAAGGTGCACATTTTTCGCATTATATCATTGTCTATTGCAAGAAAACAGCTAGAAAAAGTATGATCGAATTACAGACATCAGTACAACAAGATGACACTACTCGTACCCGTACACCGAAATCGGGGTATCTTTACCTCTCTAATGGCGAACACGCCCCCCCCCCCCTGTCCCTCTTGACTCTCACGCTGATGGCCACACCAAAGTCTATTTTTAATCGCAATCAACGAGGGAATCGCCAGCGAATAACTTGCAAGAAATCGCCGGATAGTATAGTATAGTATAGTAAAACTTTATTTAACCACGCTTCCCTCATCACCCATGGATGATTTTCGAGGGGCGTCACACAAATTACATTCTAAAAACTAATATAAATTAAATATGAAATAGAATAACATAGAATAACAAATACGTAGATAAAAAAGTTAAAAAACCAAGACTATTCGATGCCTGACTCTGTAGCACACATTATTTTATCAAATTTTTGAAGCTACTTAAAGATTCTGTTTGCTTTGCCTGCGTAGGTAAACTATTCCATAGAACAGCCCCGCTATATCCAAACCTCTTTTTTAAATATTCAGTACGTGGTTTAGGAACTGAAAGATTTATATCAGCATTTCTGAGATTATAATTAGTACTAAGATTTATGTCCCTTGTTACAAATTTATCCTTTAAGTTCGGAGCTGAGTGGTTGTTTAATATTTTAAACATCAAGACCGATTTATTCATTTTATGTCTGTCGTTCAGATTTTTCCATGACATAGCATGGAGCAAATCTGTCGACCT